AAAAAACCTATTGTCAAGACTAAATATTATAAAATATTTATCAAGCAAAATTTTTTGGAACTAATGAACGAATTGACGTCCCTTAATTATTCTGCAATATATACGGATGGCTGCAAACGAATGAATACATCATTTGCAGTCGTTACTCAAGATGGTAAAACTATATCCGGTGGTGTTCTACCAACTTACTCATCGGTGTTTACAGCTGAGGAATTTGCAATTTACAAAGCTATGGAATTCGCTGTACAAAACCAAGGGAAATTTGTCATTTGCTCGGACAGTTACTCCGGTTTCAAAGCGGTCCTTAACATATACAATTTTACCCCACTAGTTTCAAAAATCCGTGACCTGTGTGTAAAATATAAAAACAAAATCAAATTACTCTGGGTTCCTGGCCATACTGGTATAATTGGGAATGAATTTGCCGACCGAACCGCTCGTTATTTTGAAGATGCGCCTACATTTCAATTTATGTCCCTAGATCCCAAAGACTTAAGAAAGCATATTCAACGCCATATACATGCGAAACGGGGTGCAGAGTGACGTAGTTTCGTTCACAGATATGCTAGTCTCAACCCAGATCGCAGCAGAGTAATATATCCCAGCAATATTACTCGTCACCAATTAACAATTTTTGCACGCTTAAGGATTGGCCATACCGACATCACGCACAGACACTTACTCACCGGAGGATCTCCAGCTTCCTGTCCGTTTTGCTCCAGCGTTACTTCCTCAAGGACTGTTTAATTTTAGAGAGTTTCAGGCTAAAACATTTTAGTTCTGTGAACCCGTCAAATATTTTAAAAACTATATATCATTGTAATATATCTACTATAAATAATTTCATAAAAGACTGCTATTTACTCTTATAAAACACTGCACTCTATTTTTTTATATTATCTTAGTCGTAATTTTTATAAATATTATGAATATATGTATAAGCTATATTGAATTTTCTCAAGTGAAAATATTTCAAACAGTGAGTCGATGGCCTTAGCAGCTTGTACTCTTTTTTGTACATTAAGTTTTGTATTTTGTATACTTTGCTTAATAAATAATAATAATAATAATAATAAATTTATAGTTCAATTGTTTATTACTTTGTCTTTGGGTTTGTGTATTCTAAGCGTCCATCGAAAGTTTTGTAACAGAGAACCAATCTGAGATTATTGACAAAGCTATAGACCGATTTGGTGAACAGCGAAGACGTTATCGTTTTAAGTAATTACAGCAGACGGTAGAAAACACATAGCACACATAAATTTCTATAACAAAAATAGCATATTAGGGGCTGCTAATATATCTCTTTTAAATTATAGTTAAATCATTAGTTAAACATAACTACAGAAAAATTACACAGAATTTTCTGTAGTTAAGTTTAACTAATGATTTAACTATACTTAAAAAAAATAAAAAATTAACGGTCCTTAATGCATTTTTTATTTATTACACGGTGTGACAAAACAAAAAAAAATTTATTAATTTAATTTCCAATACGCCCTAATATTTATACATACATATGTATGTATATCATTTTAGAGAAGATATATCGCTGCAAAGCAACGATTATAAATTGTTAGTTTATCTTACAAAATTGCGGAGGAATATTACAGAGTATACGGAAAAGTTTATGTTAACGCGCCTAATTAATTTAACATTGTAATTAACGCGCTCAAGTTTTGATTAAAGAAATGTACTAAAATTTGCAGCTCTGCGTCTGCAAAGTAATGCAAATTCTCGCCAACAGAGGCTCGCGTGTAATACGCTGCATCCAATTGCATTTATTAACCGACTTCCAAAAAAGGAGGAGGTTATCAGTTCGTCGGAATCTTTTTTTTCAACGTCAACAGATTTCAATAATTCTTTTTGCATCGGAAAGGTAGTGTCTCAGAGGTGGTCCCATACTAATCTGGTTGAGATCCGATCAGTGGATCATGAGATATATGTATATATATTTTTTTTTATATGGGAGTTGAAGTCGGTTTTCTTTTGCTAAAAATTACTTGTTTCTTTAAAGTTCTTTTTCCTTTGGCTGGCGGCGAGAAAACATTAATTTGCAGGAGCAAGCACAAATGTAAGTAGTTAAGTGAGTTAACGAAATTGTTTTTCTAATTCCACATGCATATATCTATGTACTTGTATGTACGTATGTACATTGCTTTGTATATTCGCAGATTTTAGCGTGCATAACAATGAAATAAAGGACGCTCAAAATTAGTCTAAACAGTCTAAAATATTTGTGGACTTATCTAAGTACCTACATACTTATATAAACAAAATGGAAGGTTCGAGACCAAACCAAATATGCGAAGCACACCCTTGCGCTACGACCACACCTTGTGTAACAGCATCACCAGTTAGCACAGTTAACATTTACGACTACCGATGCGCCGGCACAGAATTGGGAAACGGCCCAAAACGGGGAAGGTTCGACCGCGAATGTAGGTGCTCCCATGCACGTGGATGCTTACTCATCTCCTACTCCATCGGGCAGCGGATTTATTAGAGAACCCACTACATCAACATCGGGCGCAACTTCTGCAGATATGGTCGCCGAACTAGCAGCATCGCATACGGTTTTAGACCCGTCCCATGTGCTCGCTCTGCCCCGTTATTGGCATGAACAGAGCACAACTTATCATCTGTAAGCTCGGTTAGCAACATAACTTCGATGATGAATAACCTCTATTCTACAGCGTGGTACAAGTCATCCAATAATTTTTCCGGGCATCTGCCTATGTCGAATTCTACGTTTACTTACGTACCCACTAGCAACATGTGTCACGCCGACAGGGGTTTTCACATTTTCGATCCTGTTAGATTGTATAACTCACAGTTATCATGCAGCCAACCATATGTTGGTGGGTCGCCTCTATATGGCAATGCAAAAGAGATTTTAAATCCTCCTCAAATTCATATGGCACCTCGCCCTCCATATACCACGCAGGGTAGCGGGTGGGTCCAAGGTCAACTTTCTGGTCAAAACACATCTGTGCCCAGTAACGAAAGTACCACTTGGAATTCAACTCTTTCTCCTTCGCATATAGCGGCA